TGAGGCGCCCAGGTGGCTCCATCGGTGAAGCGATGCCTGCGGCTCAGGTCATGATCCCGGGGCCCTGGATCGAGTCCCACGTTGGGCTCCCTGCTCAGCTCCTTGCTCATCTGCTTCTCCCTCTGCCTCTGCCTCTCCCCCACTCGTGCTCTGTCTCTCTCTCTCTCGCTCTCTCTCTCAAATAAATAAATGAGATCTTTAAAAACAATAATAATAATAAAATTGTTTTAAATCACAAAAATGGGGCAGCCTGGGTGGTTCAGCATTTTAGCACTGCCTTCGGCCCAGGGTGTGATCCTGGGGACCCGGGATCGAGTCCCATGTCGGGCTCCCTGCATGGAGCCTGCTTCTCCCTCTGCCTGTGTCTCTGCCTCTCTCTCTGTTTCTCATGAATAGATTTTTTTAAATCTTTAAAAAAAATAAATAAATAAATCGCAAAAATGTTTGGAAAAATAGTAGCAAGGGCAAGTTTGCTCAGAACACTGGAGATATAGAATAACACACTGTGGTTTTAGCGCAGATGTAGACAAATCTATCAGAACAAAATGAGGCCAGAAAGTCCAGGGAAAGAAATAATGGAATCATTACATTTTTCTTTTCTGAGTCCCAGAAGAGCTCAAGAAACACAGCTGGATTTTGTTCCAGTTTTTGGCAGAAGGGAAGAAGAACCACCGTGGGCCGGCGGAGGGGGGTTGGCACGTGCGCCCTCAGGGAGATGCGGGGTCCCTGCAGTCCTGGGGGTGAAGAAACGAGGGGGAGTCCTGACCCACAGCGAAGGAGGAACCTGTGCTAATTAGCGTGGTCACCAGAGAGGCTGGGAGGGCCCCTCTGGCTAACGTGTCAGCAGAGCGGGGACAGGGGAGACACAGCCCACAGAAGTCGCCTCATTGAAAAAAATTAGATAAAAGGGAGCAGGACAGCCTGTGCCTTACACACCGGGGAATGAAAGTCACTTTTCTGCGAGTGGGGTTCCCCGCCCCAGGCCCCAGGAGAGCCCCCGACAGCTCATGGCCCAGCCCTACAGGCCGCATGCTCTTCCCCACCAGCCGGGTCTCCCGGGGACTCGAGAATCAGATGGCCTGGCTCGTGTTTGCTGAACTCTGAGACCATGACCCAGGGAGAAACGCATTTTACACAGCAATCCGGCGTGCACCACGTGAGCGTGTGCGGCCTCTGCTGACACTGGCTGGGGTCACGTACGGGCCACTTGCAGCCACTCTATTTCTTTTCAAAAGATGCCGGTGCCGACTCACCTCATTACTTTCATAACCTGCAAGTAGCATGTGACCCCAACTGAAAAATATGGTCTTCCTCAGGGTTTTCAAGCTGGGAGCCCAAGTCCCCTGGAGTGTGTGTGTATGAGTGTGTGTGCACATGGGTGTGTGCATGTTGTCTTTGCTTATGTGTGAGCACCTGTTGTGTGTCTGGGTCTGTGTCTGTGCACAAGCTTGTCTGAGTGTGCATGTGAGCGTTGTGCACATGGATGTGTGCATGTTCTGTTTGCATGTGAGTGTGCATGTGTGCAAGCACTTGTTCTGTGTCTGGGTCTGTGCACAAGCTTGAGTGTGTGTGTAGTTTTCCTGAAAACAAGTTTGTACTCTCAGTTGTGTTTCCTCTGAACGCACCCTAGTCCCCGTGTCACAGGCGAAGACACCGAGGTCCACAGCATGTCCAGTTCCCACTGGGACAGAAGTCCCACCTCTGACTCCTGCCCAGGGCTGAGCCCTGTCCCTTCCCAGGAGGTGCCCAGTGAGTGCATGGCCACCCGTGCCGTGGGGGGAGGCAGAGTAAATGGGTCTGCCTTAGAAAACCTGCATTTTGCCCGTGCAGACCACACCCGCCAGGTTGCTCGGACTCTGGGGCCCTGCACGACAGCCAGACCAGCGGCTCCAGGCAAGCTCCGGGCCGGGGAGGACCTTCCACGTAGGCCGTCATCGCATGGAAGCACCGAGAAGCTGGCCCCACGCCCAAAACTCTCCGTGGAATTCAACCCTCACGCAGCAGCCTAGAGCACCTCAAAGGACCCAGAGAGTGGGACCCCCAGCCTGGGGACAGTCTGGGGGTGGAGCGGGAGCTGGAGCTGCAGGATGATGAGTCAAAGGACTACCCCCAGAAGTAAAGCGGCAGGGTACATGCACACAGGACTGCAGCCGTTACACTGGCGGGGCAGGGGCACATGCACGTCACAGGAGGACCACAGTCCAAGAAGCCCCAGGCCAAGCGCATGAATATTTCAACAGGTCTTCACAGGGACAGCTCTGGTTACCCGAGCCCGAGCCCCTGCGCACTGGAGTGGCTGATTAACGACCAACAGTCACAGAGGGCTGCCCTCATCCCAAACACCTGCTGAAGCTCTGAGTCAAACCCTAGCGCTGCCCTGGCGCAGTGGCCTTAGCCTCTGGGAGCCTGTGTCTGGGGGCACAGCGTGGTGACACTGACACCTACCCGGCCCATTCACGGCCTGACCCCCGCCAGCACTCGGGATCAGTATATGTCAGTCCCCTGTCCACCTTCACCGCACCTCCTCCATGCAGGATCTTGTAGCAGGACCACCGGGATTATGGCAAAGGGACCCGAGGCCAAGCAAGTGATGGACCTGCCACCTGGCTGGTCCAGTTTAATTATTTTGATCACAATTCCTAGAGGTCACAATGGGAAACCCTCAGAGAACCTAAGGTCAGGCTGCCACAAGCAATAGACTGCACACACGCGTTCATGTCCGAGCACCTGGTGGGAAGTGTTCAGCTGCGAGTCACAGAGAAGCCAACCCCCTGGCTCATGCGGGCCAGGGAAATCAAGAGCGAAGGAGGAGGCCAGGCATTTCTCCAACGTGGCCCCAGCTCTCCCCTCTTCTGTGTGTGGGCTCTGTCCTCGCACTGAGAGCCAGGCAGCTGCCATGAGCCAGGCCGTAGGTGCTAATGTCTAAAGAGGAAGGAGAAGGTCACCTCTGGACGTGCCCTTCAAGGGCGAGAAGAAGCCGGGGACACCTCTCCCCGCAGCTCACAGGCCTGGACTGATTACCTGGTCCTGATCCAGGCTTAATGCAGGGACACGCCAGGTCCTGGCTTAGGGTGCCAGCCCTGAACCCATAACCAGAGCACAGGGGCTGAGATCCAAAACCACACAACCACCTCTCCATGGGGTAAATATTGAGATGGGGAGTGCTGGGGACACAGTGCCACATCAGGACACAGGACACAGACCAAATGATGACTTCCCACATTCCTGGACCCAAGTGTCCCAGACGTCACCAGCCTGCAAGACCATCTGCCCTCTGATGCCCAAATCCCCAAATCCTGGACCTACCCATTTACAGATGCTCTCCCAGCCCTTGGAAAAGGCTTGCTCCCCCACAAAGTGGCTGGGCCCTTGGGTGGTGAGCCCCTTGGCCCACGTGGCCTGGGATGCTGCTGTCTGCTTGTGCAGGTCCTTTCTGAGCACCTCAGTGTCAGCCCCTGCTTTTCTCCTGCACCCTCTGTAACACCTGAGGGCATGGACCTTTCCCTCAGTTCCCTTCAGGGATGGGCATGTCTGGAGGAATCTAGAAAACCTGCAATGGGATCTCTCTAAAGGCCTGGATGCTTAGAGGGAATCTGATGTGAGCTCTGTCTGTCTTCCACGGCGGTGATCGCCCAGTTGTGCCAGCAAGAGTGCCTTGAGCACGTCTCCATCTCCAAATCCAGTTCCCCCCACCCTCCCCTCTGCAGGCAAAACATGCCTCCAAAACCCTCACTCCCCACCCAAAATGTACCCCTGCAGGGGACCATTGGTGGGCAATATCAGCGACAGCTTGAGAGACCTCATCCCCCCCTGGGGGTGGTCTTTGCCCTGGATCCCCATGAGATTGCAGAGTTGGGCCAATTCAGAGCTATCATGTTTCTGATTTATTTGTCCTCTTAATCTGTGCCTTTATTCTCTGACTCTCTGCTATGTCATTTTGGGGTTAAAAGTTCTGTTAAATCAGGGGCGCCTGGGTGGCTCAGCGGTTGAGCATCTGCCTTTGGCTCAGGACCTGATCCCAGGGTCCTGGGATCAAGTCCCACATCGGGCTCCCTGAAGGGAGCCTGCTTCTCCCTCTGCCTGTGTCTCTGCCTCTCCCTCTCTCTGTGTCTCTCTGAATAAATAAAATCTAAAAAAAATCTTGTAAAAACCTAGTAAAAGATTTTTACAAATCCATCCTTTATTCCATCTATTTTGAGTTACCTTTTTTTAAATTTTAGCATGTACCCCTCTCTCCCCTGCTCCTGAGTAGCACAGAAACCTGGTCCACTTCAATCCCTTCTGACCAGCATCTTATATCTTTTTTGAAACCACCAAGTAGAATCTTTCCATGAGAGTCTTGTTAGTAATCTCATGGTTTGCATGTATCTGAGGTGTCTTTATTTTGCCACCATTCTTGAAAGACAGTTTAGCTGGGTATAGGGCTCTAGGTTAATAGTTTTCTCAAGCAGTTCAAATAGAGTATTTTTCTATCTTCTGGCTGCATAATGAAGTCATTTTATTCCAGCACTTAGAAGGTCCTCTGCCCTGGGGAGACATGACTCCAAACTTGGTCTTTCCAGCACCAGCCAGATGCCGGACTCTCCGCCAGCTCTTCCCCCATCCAGCTGCTGTTTCTTCCTAGGCTTTATGGTGCCTTGCTCTGCACATGCACACCTCGGGGATCCCTCAAAGACTGGAGCAGATATTGTGCCCAAGTTAAGGGGTTTCTCCCTATGGGGCTTTTCTGGAGATCTCTTCCTAGATGTCCAGGCATCCTGGCAATGTGGAATTCTAGCCTCTGACCTCTCTGCTCGATACTGCGGCCTTCTGCTAGAGCCCATCCCACTGTGAGGTCTGGAGGGAGCCCTCAGGAGAAAAGCTTTCTTTCAAACTCCTCTCAAAGCTCATGTACCTCGAGGGTTTTTTTCATCTGCTTCAGGTCACTTCCCAGTGCCTTCAAATAATTATTGTTTCAATTTTGTCTGAAGTTCAGCAGCAGGAAGACTAGGGAAACAAAATTTCTCTGGAAGCTGGAAGTCCTGGGCCAAGTTTATTTAACCTGAAGTGGTGCCAGGTGAGACTTCGTCAGCACTGGGGTGGATTATGCAATCCCAGGGCAATGCCCGGAACAGTACAGCTTCAGAACTGACCCAAAGAAGACTTCGCCGGGTCTTTTCTTACAGCTCCTCGTTGTTCTCTTCTCAATGCTCAGTGCTGGGAAAGGACTAGTGAGTTCCCCAGGAAATGAGGAATGGGGAAAGATGTGTTGTATGTAAAGGAAGCAAAACCTTCAAAGACACAGATCCTAAAACATATCCCCAGTTGACGCTGCTCAAAGCTCCCAGATGTCCCAAGAACAAGACAAGGTACCTGGGTACACCAGCACCACAAGGGACCCACAGGGTGAGTGGATCATCATCATCAAGGATTGGAGATGTCTTGGTTCCAGCCTCACCCCCAAGTCTCAGGTTTCCAGTTGTCTAGGCTGGCTGTAGAGTTGATAGTTGATAGTTGATATAGGGCATCTTTCCAACCAGGCAGCAACCCTGGAGGACCACCTAAAAAACGTCAAGCTCTTGAGGACAGGAAGGACATGTCAGCAGGGTCTGGGCTGTGTGTTGTTACTGTTGCTGCTGCTTTAGCCTCTACTTACCTGCTGAAAATAATGGGAACCGGTCACTTGTTTCCATCCACCACACGAATCTGTATGTGATTTTTCCACCTCCAAATTCCATCCCAGAGAATTTTTTAAAAAGCTTCTTGGGTTCAGCTTGCCCCTCCACCAGCAAGATGCTGAACACCGCCAACTCGCATGGCCCTGCTTGCAGCAGGTGCACACAGGTGCAGGCCAGGCCAGGGGAGGTCACTATCAGATGGCTCTGTCTTCCCAAAGGCACCTGCTTGGGTGGCCCCTCTGCCACAGGTGTGCATATCCTCAGGGATTCAGGAAACGTTGCCATCGCTGTGTCTGGAAACAAGCATGAGTCAAAGGAGATTAGCTGAGTTCTGAGGTCAGAGGGCAGACACACAGTGATGTGTGGGACCCATTGGGAGACTGACCACGGGTCCACCAGGTGTCCTGTCCCTGTGTCTCCCACAATGGGTGGGTCACTCTCTGCCATTCAGAGAACAGAGGGTGCCTCCCCTGGGAATTCACCCTGGACCACACGAGGGTGAGCTCACCCCTCCAGCACTGCTGTGTTCAGTGACCTCGAGGCCAAGAGGAGAGAAGGGAAAGTCAAAACACAGGAAGGCATAAGACAAAGTACCTCCACCGGGAAGCTTAGAAAAATACACTAAAAACCATAAGGATGGACAATCACAGTGCTACGTGGGTGATGGGGATGGAGTGCCCTGGACATCAGAGGAAGGATGGGGTCACAGAGGATGGGGATAATGTGGGCAGGTTCCAGCACTCAGGGTGGCTCTGCATGCAAATGGAGCCTGACGACTGCTTCCCAAACACGATGACCATGGACTCAAGGCCTTGACGGCTCCGTCTTCTAGAGGTTTAGCCAAAATAACCCCTACCCCACCACCACCACCCCAACTTAACACATACTGGCATCCCGTGCCCTGCGAGCAATCAAGGGCTGCCCAAGCCAGGTCTGCACAGAGTGTTGAGTGTGGAAAGGCTTGCTCGCTTTTAGCCACTCGATGTGAGGGGAGGAAACAGCGGGAGAGCATCTTTTCTTGGCTTTCCTAGGCAACCTCAGGAATCTAGGAAATGTAGCTGAAATAATTCCCCCTTTAGAAACCGCACTCGTGGGGAGCCCGCTAAGTCTGACCGCCTCAGCGATGAGTCAGGCGGTGCCAGGCGTGCCCTCCCAGGCCGTCCTCACCTCCGCCCGTTCGCATGCTAATTTGCCAAAAAGCTCCTAGTGCATTTGCATGTTTTTCCATCTAATTTCGCCTAATGGCAATTTAGAACAGGTGCAACTCCAGCAGGCGACCTGCCCCATCAGCCAGGTCCCACCGTGGGGTGCCCAGGAATTCATTTAAAGGGCCTCTGCCTGTCTGCGGTTGGCACAAATCGTGCAGCAAGCCGACCCACACATAGAAACGTGAGGCACAAGAACACGCCCCCCTCCAGGGCTGTCCCCATCGTCACCTTTACCTAGCGGGCCCGGGGCACCCAGTGAGGGGCTATGAGTGTGCAGGGGGTGCCTTCTGCCCTCCATGAGCTCGGGGCTGGGAGTCCCTGGATGCCACTGCCGGCCACGAAGCCATGGCACACAGGCGCTGGGCTATCCCAGGGGCCCTGGGGCCACCGCCCTGACTCCACACCAGAGCAGTCACCAGCAAGGCCTTGGAAGCAGGTGCAGCCTACCCAACATCCCACCAGGGCCCAAGGGGACCCCCCCCACGTCAGCACCAAAGAACCAGAACAACCTAGGAATTCAACCCACGGCCCCAAGGACGGACGCCACAGTCAAACTTAGTGCTGGCACCTGTGAATCAACTGGCCACACGGCTGCAGCACCCCTGCTCATGCCTGCCCCATGTTAAACCTCCACGAGCGCTGCTCACACTTCGTGCACCAGCGCCGACGACCAGCAGCAAGGAGAGCCTGTCCACGGTGGCCCACTCATCACAGGGCCCCAGTGCCCTCCTGCCACTCCCTTCCCACCTGCCAGACCAGCCGGCCCCTGAAGGAGCCCTCACCGCCCAGCAAATCTGCATGTGGATGGCCCACAGGGGGACAAGGCCAGCCCTTCTGCACTGACGCAGAACCGGGGGACCAGATGCCCCACCACGACATGCGGCCCACCCCCAGATGTGTCCTATGGGGAAAGGACCCACCACGGGCACCCCCTGAGAAAGCCTCCCAGATGGCCCCTGGCCCAGCTGCCTCTGTCAGTGTTGCATATTTGCCACCCGGGACCCACAGACGTGGAGATTTCCCCGCAGGGACCCAGAGCCTGGGTTGTTTCCTGCGGTCCGTTCACAGATACGCACACACTCAAACTCCCTCACACACACATTCACATGCTTGTGGACACATGCACTCCCACATGATCACATGCACACACACGATCATTCATATGCTTGTGGACACACACACGATTGCACACCTGCTCTCACACACAATCACAGGCATTCACATGTTCATGGACACACGCACACACATGATCACACACCTGCTCTCGCACAATCACATACATCCACAAGTTCACATCAGGCAGGCAGCTTGGGCCACAGGGAGGGTCAGCTACTGGACCATGCACTGGATGCCCAGGTGTCATCCAGCTCCCTCCTGCACCCTCCTGGGGTCCTTGCCCCCCCAAGCTCAGGCCAACCCTCTGTCTTCCGGTCGGCATTCCTCACAGCCCAGCCCCTGGCTCTGCCCATAGGCCTCCTGGCCAGCCTTCCTTCCACTGAGGACCCACGGCCCTGACTCGGCCATTCCCCTGGGTCAGCCTCCTTATCCCTCTGACTGCCTCGCTTCATTGTAATCCCTGCCCCTTTCTCTGTGGGCTTAACCCGAGACCCTACCCCTGAGACATGCACACCACACACAGAGATACACACTCACCTGCACACAGGGAGACAGACCCTCATACGTGTACACATACATACACCGAGATACACAGTCACACGTATACACATTCACACACTCATACATGCACACACAGCCAGTTCACTGTGCTCTGAGGCTGACACTCTGAACAGAGAACTTCATCATAAAGGAGTCTTTCCCACCTGCAATACCCCTGAGCAGCCCAGCCCTCCTTGGTGCTGCTGACTCACCATGTTCCAGCTCAGGGAACCATGATTCTGATGGGCTTGCTCAGAATGTGCTGTCACCTAACATTTAAAAAGCCACCATGGGTCCCTGCTAGGTGATGGAATTCAGAATCCACCCTACATGTCACACTACCACCTCCTCCTTCCTCATCTCCACCCACCCCACACCCCACTGCATGATCAGTCTGGGGTCAGATTTTCTAGAGGGCAGTTTTTGGTTCTCCCCCCCCCTCTTTTGCAGTCTCCTTCTTGCACTCTGGACTAGACCACCAAGGGAGTATGAAGTATTCAGGTAATCTGACAACCCAGCACTGATGGTACTGGTTTTGGTGATGATCATAATGACAGTGGTAATGGCAGTGACGGTGATAATGGGGATGGGGGTGGTAAGAATGGGGATGGAATGGGGATGGTGATGACAGGGATGGAGGTAGTAAGGATGGGGATGGGGGTGGTAAGGATGGGCATGGGGATGGTGATGGTGAAGATGGGGATGGGGATGATGGGGATGGGGGTGGTGATGGTGAAAATGGTAATGGTGAGGATGAGGATGGTGATGACGGGGATGGGGATGATGGGGATGGTGATGGTGAGGATGGTGATGGTAATGATGGTGATCATGGTAATGACAGCAGTGATGGCAGTGATGGTGATGATGATGTTCGTCATGATGTCATTACAATTTATTGACAACTTACTCTGGATCAAGTAGCAAATATGCTAAGTGTCTTCTTTTAATCTATTTTTTGAAGATTTTTATTTCTTTGAGAGAGAGAGAGCGCACCAGTGGGGTGGGGGCAGGGAGGGGGCAGAGGGAGAAGGAGAAGCAGACTCCCCGCTGAGCAGGGAACCCAACATGGGCCTCAACCCCAGGATCCTAGGATCATGACCTGAGCCGGAGGCAGACACTTAACCAATTCTGCCACCCAGGTGCCCCTCTTCTTTTAATCTTTAAAACAATCATAAGGTAGACATTATTAGACCCATTTGACAGAAGAGAAAATCAAGACAGAACTTCAACCACCTACTGAAGCCCCTGAACTAGTGACAGGACCCCGGCCTGTCTGCCCCCAAAGCTCATGCTCATAGTGCCGCCCCTGCCCGGCTACATGGAAAGAGGCCGGGATGTGGCCTGGAGGACCCAGAGGAGCAGCCCTGGAATGTGCTCCTGGGGAAACGTGGGGGGCTGAGAGGCCCCTGTGTGAGGAAACTCCACGGAACCTCAGGGTCCCAGTGGAACTGCTTGATCTGGAGACCCTGCCTTGTCCCCATCCCAGACACGCTCAGCTTACTTTTTGTAAATTGAGGCACACTCATCCTACAACACCGTGAAGTTCAGGCTGTGCGAGTGTTGATCTGACACGCTTGTACGGCGCAGTACGATCACCACCGCGCGGCAGCCCACACCTCCATCGTGGCACGTCACTGTCACGGTTTTGTGGTGAGAACAATTAAGATCTAGTCTCTTAGCAACTTCGAAGTTTGTGACGCCGTGTTGACGGCGATCACCGTGCTGTGCGTGAGAGCTCCACCACTCACCTGCCACTTCCACCCTCTGGCTCGAGGCCCACCCCCGCCCTGTGCTGTCAGCCCCCCCCAAGTCAGCCCCCCAGAGCCGCCCCCGGGGGCACAGCTGCGCTCACCTTCCCCCTCGCAGCAGGCCGGCTCCCTCCAGCCCGTTTCTGCATCCTGAAGAGGAGGACAAGGGAGGGCTCCGGGGTCGGTGGCCCAGCAGCCCCAGCCCTCGTGGAGCCCCCGGCCCAGGGAGTCCAGGAGCAGAGCCCCGCTCTCGGCTCTCCTGCCTCTCCCACCCTCCTGCCCTCCACCATGTGTCCCAGCAGTGGTGAGGGGGTCCTGCTGGTTAGACGTGGGACAAGGTCGTGCGGGGTGACAGGGGTCATGGTGCAGCCCACAGAGCAGAGCATCCCTCCTACAGACTCCTTACCCCCCAGGACCAAGGGCCCCATCACCATAACCTACGTCTAAAGCAAAGAAGCTGCAAGATCCAGAACCCAAGATGCCGTCCCCTCCCCAGCGGCCTGTCCTGAGCCGTGTGGTCCCCTGCCCCCCGACAGCCCGGCACCCAGGACCCGCCTCACCATCTGGCCCACCTGGCAACTCTCGGTACTCTCCCACAGCAGGGCCAGCCCGGGGCTCTGAGCCAGTGTCGGGGGGTCAGACACTCCCCACCCAGCTTCCTGCTCCCAGGGCTCCCCGCCATGAGGCAGGGCCCAGGACGGGAGGCCTCGACCCAAGAACCCACTGGGAGAGGCGCCCCCGGGCACCTGCTTGACGGGAGGGAGGTTGTCAAGCTCAGCACGATCCGACCGGGTGGGGCTGGAGAGCCCATCAGGAACCATGCTCCCCACTTCTGAGCCCTCTCTCCCCACCCCTGCACCGTCCCCAAGTGCCGTGAGCACAGACCTCTGTGTAGAGATGCCCGGAGGCCCTTGGCCAACAGGCAGGGATAAACAGAACCCAGCGGAGACGTGCTTCAGACTCCAGCCCCGCCAGGGCCCGGGGCCACGGCAAGCACCCTCCACCCAGCCGCACTCAATGCACGCGGGTGACTCCATTCATCTATTCTTTTGAGAGAGAGAGAGAGAGAGAGAGAGAGAGCACGAGCGAGCAGGGGTGGGGCAGAGGGAGAAGGAGGATCCCAAGCAGACCACGCTCAGCGGGGAGCCTGACACGGGGCTGGATCTCACGACCCCAAGACCACCACCTGAGCCGAAATTAAGAGTCGGAGGTTCAACCGACTGAGCCCCCCAGGTGTCCCCCGGCCCTCCCCACTGATTTCATTAAAAGGAAAATCCACCTGCATCCCCCAAACACAAGCCTCTCCTGTTAGTATAATGAGCGCATGAGGGAGGGAAGGGGGTGGGTGCCTGGAGGGCCCCTGATGGACTCCTCTCAAACTGAGTCAAAAACAAAAAAACAAAAAACAAAAAAAGCCCTGGGTTACGGTGCCCCCGAGGCCGGGGAAGTCCGGCAAGGCCAGGCTACCTGGGCAGCCGCAAAAACCGAGGGAGGTGGGGCTGAGGGCCCAGTGCTCTGCGCGGGGGGCACACGGAGCCCAGTGTCCCGTGCCCCGCCCCGCCGTGCCCTCGTGCCCCCCGGGCCCACACTCCTCTGGAGCCTGTGCTCACCCGCCGCTTCCTGCGGCCCGCAGAAGACACCAGAGGGACCGTGCCAGCTCCAAGCCTCGACCTTAAGAGACCCCCCCACTGCCCCACTGAGCGCTTCCCCCTTCTTGGTCCTCACCTGGACTGGGAACACGCCCTGCCGGCTGCGCGAGGAAGAGAGACCACGGGGCTGACTCGGAGGGACCCAGAAGGTGGGGGAGCCCCCCTGAGACCAGCAGAACCGCCAAACTGAGTCCAGCCGCAGCTCCCGACCTGCACAACCACATGCTAACTCCATTGTTTTGGCGTTTGCTTTGTCTAGCTTGTCGCACGGCAATAGCTGACTGTCACGAGCAGCGTCCCTGGGAATCCGTTGCGGCACCAGTGAAAGATGATGCAGAAAAAGAGCGTAACAAAAAGTCCGGAACCCGAGCTGCCACCCGTCCAAACCTCCCGACAGAAAGGCGGGGATATTCACGCGTGTCCGCGGCCCGAGTGCGGCCGTGCAAACTTACAGGCCGGGCCTACTCAAGCCCTCGGCTCTAACTACCAATAACCAGAGCTGCCACTTACTGGGCTCTGATGTGGGCTCAGACTACGGCGAACCCCGTAAATACTTCGGGATGAATGCCTTCCGGGGAGACCAGGACGGCCGGCTCGGTGCTCAGCCTGAACGAGGGCGTGGGTGCAGGCCGCGTCCCCTCCCCGCTTGCGCCCTGGGGGCTGAGCACATCCGAGTGCCCCCCATGACTCCAGGCTGTGCAGGGGCTCAACAGGTGCCACTTTCCCTCCTTGTCACTCACCAGCCTGACCCTTTCTCGGGAAGAGGCAGCAAAAATGAAGCCACAAACAGGAAGCCTCGCTGTGAGGTCAGCCAGCCGTGGCCCCGGGGTCAGGGACAGGCTGTGCCAGGCCACTGGGATGGAAGCTCGTGAGTCATGCAGCACAAACCAGTCTATCCTGCGAGCTGCACAGACGGATGCTGGGGAGGCCTGGACGCTCCCACCCCAGGCCTCACTGAGGCATCCGCGTCCACGACGCTTGCTGTACGTTCCCGTCCGTGCCCCACCTACCCCGTCCCCCCTGCCTCCTGCCTTTCCCCAGCAGAGCGTTTCCTGAAGACGAGGCACAGCCTCCCCAAGCCCAGGCCAGCCCAGGACGCAGCAAGTGCCCAATAAATAAACCGTAGATGCACGACCCAGCAGGGGGGAGCCCTGAACGAGTCCACCAGACCGCCTCGGGCCGAACACACTATTCCCGGTGGGAGGCGCACAGGTGACCAACACGCACGTGCCCCGGCTGACCACGCCCTGCGCGCCCTGAGCACACGGAGCCTCGTGTGCACAGGCCCACGGCATACTCAGAAACACGGGCTTGGCTTCAGGGGGGACCCACAGGTCAGGGCCGCTCCAGGTGAAAACCAGGCTGCAGCCAGTCCTGGCACCAAGCTCTGAAGCAGGGCTGGGTCGCTGTCCTGAGCATATTTCTACCCACGGGACATGTGTGCATGTGTGCACATGCATGCATACTGGGCAGGTGTGCACGAGTGCACAGAGGCGACACACACAAGTGTCTGTGGGCAGGTGCACACACTCGGGATCCCAGGCCCCAAGGGGAGCACCTCTGTGGACGGGAAGCCGTGGCCCTGCCTCTCCCTGCAGACTGCTGGGTGTGTTCGCGGCCCGTGAGTCTCTGGCCCCGTCAGCTCTCGCTTATGTTTTTTCTTGTTTTGTTTTTTTTAAGATCTTATTTATTCATGAGAGACACACAGAGGGAGAAGCAGGCTCCACGCAGGGAGCCCCATGTGGGACTCGATCCCAGGACCCCGGGATCACGCCCTGGGCCGAAGGAGGCGCTAAACCGCTGAGCCACCCGGACGTCCCGCGATTTGTTAATCCAGAGGCGGATCTGTGACAACTTTGCAGAGCCGCGGTGGGTGATCTGGGGAACCCGCGGCACAGGCGGCTGCGTGGGGATGACTTTGCCTCTCCCGAGTGGGAGCCTCCCTCTCTCTGGTTTTCAATACACGGTGTGTCCCTGCGTCTCCGGGACTGGCCCAACTGGTCTGCGTGGGGCTGACGGGCGCAGGACGGAGTAGGAACCAGGGACTGAGTCTCCAGGACCTCAGAAATGCTGTCTCCTGGGCTGTGGGTCATCCGTACCGACACGGGCAGGGACACGGGGGTCCTAGGACGAGAGAAATCACAGGAAGGGCCGTGGACATTAACCCCGCTCCACCCCCTGTGGCAGGTGAGAGCACGGGTGAGCCCAGGACGGCCAGCCTGGTGTCTACACCTCCTGTTCTGGCCCCGGGAAAGCAATCGATCCATCTGGCCCCCCAACAACCCCACGACTCGGTATCAGATGAAGAGCCTGACTCTGAAGCAGCTACAAGAGTGGACCACGTGCCAGCGCCAAGGGCGCCCAGGCTGGGCTGGTTTCAGGGTCACCTCCCCGGGAGGGTCAGTATCGAGGTGACATTCACTGGCATGTGCCTGAGTCACTGTGTGGGCACCACGGGGGGTGCTTCCTCCAAGCAGGGTCGCAACCTTGCCCCGGCTCAGGGGACCCAGGTGGACAGGACCAGCCTGCAGGAGTCATGACCGGAGGCAAGAAATCCGCTCATGTAGGGGGTGCACTGGGGGTGGGGGACCCCGGACAGGGCCGGGTCCTGGCCTGCTGGTGCCGGAGTGCGTGGTGACAGGACAGGTGGCTGCCCCCCCCCCCGGACCTGTCCCCGCTGGGGGGTGGGGCTCCAGAGTCCAGAGCCTGCCGCTGGCCACGACCCAGGCACAGACATCAGTAAACAGAGTGTGACTGACGCCGCCACCCAGGCCACCCGCCCCACCCTGACGCCTCCCCACTGCGGGGCTACTGGAAAAGCGGGTCTGGGCGCAGAGAGAGAATGCCCTGCACCCCAGGCCCCCAGCCTGTCACTCTTGGCTTCCCCCACCCCCATGCCTCCACCGGCACCGTGAAATGTGTCCACCCAGCGGGATTCTCCCAGACGTGGGACATTACATTCCCGCATCCGAGCTCCGGGTTCATGCGCGTTACCTCCTAGCTGCTCCCAGCACCTGCTGCTGCTCTGCGGGCTCAGCGCCTTCTCCTGTCCTGCCACCTCCCCCTGTCCCCCCACCCCCGCCCCACACAGGAGCACAGCTCGGACGTCCAGATGCCCCCTGGCCCTCTCGGACCCCAAGTCTGCACCTGCCCCATCCGGGCACCCCTGACCCCCAGGCCTGCCTTCACCTGCAGCGGCCTGGGTGCCCTGGGGTCCCGCAGACCTGCTGCGGGAAGTAGCTGTGGAACCTTAGAGATCCCGGCACCCCTGCCCGCGCGTGGGGGAGGCAGGTCCCCACCCTGCCTGCAGCAAAGCGCTCACCACCATCCAGGCCTGGAGGGAGTTCCTTCTAGTGTTGGTTGTTGTTGTTTTTTAAGCTTTTACTTATTTATTCATGAGAGACACAAAGAGAGAGGCAGAGGCACAGGCAGAGGGAGGAGCAGGCTCCATGCGGGGAGCCCAACGCAGGACTCGATCCCAGGACCCCGGGATCACACCCTGGGCCAAAGGCAGACAGACGCTCACCCACTGGCCCACCCAGGCACCCCCGCTCCGGTGGTTCTCATGGGCACAGGCCCTTTCCCATCCCAGCCCAGGCACCACCGGGGGCCACACCGCCTTCCCCCCAGAGGACGGGCCCCAGGGCCCAGCACCTCCACCCAGGCCGGCCCCCCAGCGGCAGGAGAGCCCTGCACGCCCGCCACCACCGTCAGCCAACCCCGAGAGAAAGAACTCAGGAATCAAAGATCAAGTGTCCGCTCACATGAGCTCTTCTTGCCCATTTCCGGGGCACAGAGCTGAGACCAGTGGGCACGGAGCCTCCGGCCCCACCCTGCAGTTTCGAGGGAGCCCGGCCCCCGGATTCGGGAACTGCCCTGCTGGTGCACAGATCCGCTTTGAGAAACAGCGAGGGTCACTGGGAAGGTCAACTTGCGGGTGAGGAGGGCGTGGCAGACGGAGCCGTGCGAGAGCTGGGGCTCCCCTGGTCTCTGGGATGTCGATCCCACAGTCTGGGAGGGGCTGAGCGCCTGGGCCCAGGGCCCCTCAAGGAGCTCGGGGTGGGCAGGAAGGCTCACCCTTGGAGGAGGCGGCAGTAGGGCCACCTCCGGCCTCGAGAACTACTGGTGTGTGGAGGAGGCGGCGGGTGGGCGGGCGGGCGGCTTGTAGGGCTGAGAACCTGCTTGCTTCCTCCTTGGAATCCGATGGGGCCTCGGAAGATGCTGGGCCCACTCACGGTGAGCAGGACCGGCTGGTTCCTTGAACAAACACTGACCGGGCTGGCCGTGTTCCGGAAACTCGTCCAGCCTCTCTGTTGGACGTGCCCTGGGCTTGAGTCCTGACCTCGAGACTGTGGGGGACACAACTGGAGAGCGTGGCGCAGGTGCCCGAGTGTCAGCCGTGTGGACGGTGAGGGACCCCGCGGCGCTGCTGGGGAGTCGCTCCAGCCGCTGGGTGGAGACAGGTGACAGCAGGGCCAGGGTGAAGGAGGCCCCAGACGTCACTGTCGGCGTCCCATTTGACAGATTTGAACACTGAGGCAAGAAGCCCAAAGCTCCAAGCTGGGACTTGACCCAGACCCGCCGGCCCTGAAAGCAGGGCCCCTGGCTCTCCCGCTCCCCCCATCACCTCGCTGCAGGGACCCCAGTCCCTGCCCACAGCCCCCCAGGGCTCGTCCCCCAGCGCTCGTCCCCCAGCGCTCATCCCGACAGCACAGACTGGCCTAGCTTCGAACCATCCCCGGTCCCCCGGGTGACAGGGAGCCCCCGTGACAGCTGCTGGCAGGGCTGGGGGGCTGGGGGAAGGCTGCTTCCTCCCCCCCCACCCCCGTCCCCTCACCACCACCCCCAGGCACAAAGCTCAGCCCTGGGCTCCTCCCGGGAGGGGCAGGCGGGAGGGGAAGCCCAGGCAGGAAATAGGGCTGTAGTGTGACCGCTGCCCTCCCAGGTCACAAGGGCCACGAGAAGCTGCTCCTTGCATGTCCCTGGGACTCCCCCAGGGACAAAAGCGCTGAGTGACGTCCCCAGGGCCCTCCTAGCGGGCAGCTTGGGGTGCCACCTCCCCCCCTCCCCCCGCACTGCCCGGGGCTTCGGGGATTTCTCTCCAAGACCAGGACTGAGTCATCGGCCATCCCACGTTCAGAGGACAAAAGACCCAGCCCGTCAAACCGGGCCCCTTAGAAGGAGCCCTGGGAGCTTGGCAGGGCAGCAAGGGCTCACCGCCACCCCGACACACACGCACCCCCAGCTGGATGCAGCCTAGAAGGTTCCTTGCCCTCTCCAGACCTGTCAGTAAGGTGGGGCTGTAAGTGACAATGACCTGCTTCCGGGGCCTGGGCGTGAAGAGCATCGTCTAGGGTCACAGCAGAAGCTGGTCAGCCCGAGACCCCCCCACGTCGTCCTTGGCACCTCGCTCCCTGCCCTGCCCCACCCCACCCTCTGCCAGAGGATCACCAACATTGAGCAGGGGTGTCCAGTACCCCCCACAGGGTACGCATGAGCTCCCCGACCCCCAGGCTGCTCCACGGACACCACCCTCATCCCCCCAACACAAACCGCATGGTCGGGAAACCCGAGGCACTGGGTGTTTCGGAGCTGGAGGGACCGGCCACTTCACAGAGGCCACCCCGGCTGCTCAAGTGCCCCTGAGGCAGCGTCGCGTCCCCGGAAGCTGGTTGGAAAGGCAGGTCACACCCCCACCTGCACCCACCAACAAGAAGGTGCCCCGCAACTGCGCGCACGTTCTCATTTGAGAACTGCTGTTCCAGAAAGCCTGTTGGGTGGAGGGTGCGGGGGCTCGATCCCGGAGCGCAGGCTCGGGGCAGTACGGGTGAGGAGGGCGCCGGCAGGAGAGGCCAAGAAGCGGCCTAGTGCGGTCCCAG